ATAAAGATGAGACAGATGTGTGTGTGAGTCTCCTCAGGCGTGTTCTTCTGGCGCACACTGATGACTGACAGCATGATTGGACGGTTTCAACATAAGCCAATCCACCTCCAGCCAGAAGAAACCTGATTTCCCCTCAGCGCTACGAGTGGTGCACAGCTCATAAGAACCATCCAGAACAATAAGCACAGACAGCTGTGTTACTTATATAAGTGTTCAAAAGTCTACACCACAGGTGTCAAACTCCTGGAGGGCCGCTGCTCTGCACAGGTTTGCTCCAGCCCTAATCAGACGCTTGAACACCTTCATTAGTTGATCAGCTGTGTTAGACTAGGGTTGGAGCAAAACTGCAGAGCTGCGGCACACCAGGAGCTGAGTTTGAGGCCTGTGCTCGACACTGACTTCTGGAGTGCATCAGGGCTCGGTTCTGGGTCCGCTTCTGTTCTTCATCTACTATAGTCATTCAGAAACATGTGCTGCATCCCAATACACATACACTACACTACGCCCTACATACACTGAAAAAACATTATTCAAAGATGATTCCTTGGATTTACTAATTTTTTTTATGTTAAGTGGCTGTAAACAATTTAATTGTGTTGAATTTAAACAAACAAATTAAGTTGAACATTACTCAGTTTAATTTGTTCGTTTAAATTCAACACTAATAAATTGTTTGCAACAGTTCTGCATGCAACACTTTTATGTGAAGGAAAATATCTACGTTTGAGTGTGCAACAGAGGAGTGTGCAGGCTTTGAGACGCACTACTTCCTCATTAACAGATAGTTGTGTTGTTTAGTTATGAGCCCTGTCCATCATCCACACATCAGCCATGTTTAATCTCCTGCCTTATAGGAGCAGCAGCAGCAGCAGGATAGTCTCTCATTCACGAGTCTGACAGGCAGAGAGATCTCCTCAGGTGTTTGGGTAATTCTGCAGTCAGACGGTAATGTCCAAACACGTCTCTTCAGAAGCTCAGTACTGTTGTAGATGAAATATAAGACAGATAATGCGATTCAAACATGCTCCAGTGGGCTGGATATTCATCAGCAGTCACTGAAGCCTCTTGATGGTTGGTCTCGATGTTCATCATGTTTGTAGTTTATTTACACTTATCGTCCAACACGTAATGCACTGTGGGTAATATCAGCACTTAAAGATGCATGTACACTTATCGGAAATAGTAAACCATCCAGGAAGCTTTGTCATACTCTTCTCAACATACTACTACTACTACTAACTCTTATTCAACGATATCCGCTGTGCATCAACACAATCAGACCTCTGACTGATCCAGAACGCACTTCAAAGCTGAAACTAACAGACACTTGCATCATATTCAGCTCTAAATGCACTGATGTCTGCCTGAATTCAGGCTCATGTGCTCTGTGTTCTGCAAATAAACGCTGCATTGTGGAAATATAATATAGTTATCATTAAAGAAATAACATATAGCTGCTTTAAAGGGGCAGTTCACCCCAAATTAAGCATCTCCTCTCTGTTTACTTCACATTCAAGAGGTTGTAAACTTACATATTAGGAACAAAAAATACAGTGTACAGCGCACTAGAAGTATGCAAGCATGTACAGTATATATTCCCCTGTGTTCAACAGAAGATGAACAATCAAACTGGTTTGAAACAAGTGGATTAAAGTAAGTGGGCACGTAAATGATTTAAAAAAAAAGTGATTTTATTTTGTGTGAACTGCCCCTTTAAGTTGTCTCAAAACTCCAAACGTCATACAAACTTGGGTTCTTTTTGAACAGGTGGATGCTTTACAAGCCTTAAATAATTAAAGCAGTGCATTGAAATGCTTTCATTTCATCTGATTTTATTTGCATTTCATTTCTTCCTCCGGGTGCTCCGGTTTCCCCACAGTCCAAACACATGCGCTATAGGGGAACTGATCAACTACACTGGCCACAGTGTATGAGTGTGTGTGTGTGTGTTTCCCAGTACTAGGTTACAGCTGGAAGGGCATCCACTGTGTAAAACATATGTTGGATTAGTCGGTGGTTCATTCCACTGTGGCAACCCCTGATGAATAAAGGGTCCTAAGCCAAAGGAGAACGAATGAATGAAGTTTTCACTGCTTCATCAGATTAAAGGGGCAGTTCTCTAAACATTATACTGTTCTCTGTTTACTCCATCTCAAGCTGTTCCAAACCTTTAAGAGTTTATTTTTATTTTTTTATATATTGAAGAAAGCTGTGCACCTGCAGTCAATGACCTTTAGACAGGAATAATAAATACTGTGGAAGTCAATGGTTACAGGTTTCCAACATTCTTCAAAATATCTTCTTTTGTGATCAACAGAAGGAAACTCAGTTTAAGAACCAGAACTGAGCTTCTTGTGTGAACTGACCCTTTAACAGCACTGTAATGTTGATGTGAAGTGAGGGTTAAAGCAGGTCATACTGCATATATATATGTGTGTGTGTGTGTGTGTGAATCTTTACAGTAAGCACACCAGTAATGAGAGATGCTGCATGTTCTGATGTGTGCATGAATTATTATGGTGTGTTGTGCTGGATTCATCTGGTCAGACGTGCTGCTGTTTGAAGAGCTGGAGGCAGCATGAACGTTGACCAGAGACAGGCAAATATTTACTCCGGTAAAAGTGCAAGCGCAACACATTTCCCACATGTCAGAACCTGTAGGGATCCATATTGTTCCCGTCAGTGTGTGTGCATATGCTCTCTCTCTCTCTCTCTCTCTTTGCAGTGAGAACAGCACACAGATAATGTTCATCAGCTCGCTGAAATTGACCCTTTCAGGCTTTGATCCTAATTGTGGTGGTTTGGGGACTGTCACTTTAAATGCAAATGAGATAGTGCTGTGTGCAAACTCTACATCTATAATCCTCTTAGTCTATGCTGACATCATCTTCAGCAGCTCAAACACTCTAATGGCGAATGGACAGACGGCTGCTTCTCACTCAGGGCTGCTGGACATGCTAATGAGATGGAGAGATGGAAACTAGTGGGCGGGGCTTTCCCCCTCTGATGACGCGTACAAAGGGAGAATGACAATCACAGTGTTTCTGCATCAATTAATGTTGAGCATTAGAGATACACACACACACACACACACACACACACACACACACACACACACACACTACTGGGGTTAAACGCTGCAGAAAAGTGAGTTTTGCGTAACAGGTCCACCTTAAGCTAAAGTGCATTGAGCTATTGTTTGATGGCAAAAATCTTCATAACTGAGTAAAGCTGTGAGTAAACGACAACATTTAGCATATTTCCTACCCTCAATATATCCAAACACAAGTTGTGATTAGTGATACGCATTGCTAATCCTGCATTACAGTAACCTTTGCTCAATATTGAAATGTGCTGTGTGACTGACATCCTCCAGCAGAGGGCGCTGATGATGAAGATGAACTGAAGACATTGACTGACACTGAGTGTTTTGTTCTTCTGTTCATCAACAGTCTGTGTGTGTTTAGTGTTTATCAGCGGTGGTGATCTGCATTATGGGATGTTGATCTCTGCTCTGTCCACTTCTGATGTTGAAAACTCAACGGTACAGTTAAACAGTGACTTAGTGATATTTTAGTGGTTTGAAATAATATCAGAGATCATATCTAGAGGAATAAGAGTGTGTAGAGTAATAGAAAATGTGTTGCAGTTTATTACAAGTGTTCTGTAGTGTAATATACAACACCAACACACACTACAGCACTGCACACTATCACACATGATCATAATACACACTTCTACACAGTTCACAAGGTTAAAAGTTGCTGGAGGAAAGATCAGGATCCCATAATGACATTCAGAAGCAGAAATAAACGAGGAAAAAATAAAAACACGAATCATAAAATACAGAAAACTGCTCATTTACAGATATTTTTGCATCGTCAGCTGTTCTTCACATTTTTGTTTGTCTCTATATATGTCAGTGTTCTGCATGCATCAACACCACTGCAGACGGATGCATTCGCAGAGCCAGAAGATTCTTCCTGAGATGTTTAGCAAATTAAAAAATCCATGAGAATCTGTGGCCAAATCTACATGACTAAACACAGACGTGCATCGAGGAACACTTCAGTTCACTTCACTGCAGCGTGTGTGTTAGCTGTGTTGCTGAACTACAGTAATGTTCCTACAGTGTGTCATGATCAATCAGTGATGTGAACCACTGACTGCACATCAAGGCTTGTTTTGAACACTAGTATTGAACACTGGCCAGCCTGTTTCATTGTTTGTAGTATTAGGGAAATTACTTCAGGGCTCTGATATTCGTGACAAAATAAAAATAATAATAAAAAAGTTCATTCTCAGATCTGAGCTTATCAATTTTACACAATCACACAATCTTAAAAAAAATAACACCAATCCAGAGTCATGAAGACATTTAATATCAGATCAACTCCATCTTTACAGTGAGCAGATGAACAGAAACACATTACAAACAGTACTTCTCAAAACACTACATGATGATGACTGATCTAAAGCTTTATATGAAGGAAGTAGCTCATGAATATATTTAATCTGTCAATATAATGAGGAGGACACACATCAGACTAATACACTCTCAGACACAACAGCTCAGCAGTGGATTCAGCAGCGGTGCTGTACACCAGAGGAGGAGAGCAGTGATCAGCTACAGGTGATGGAGGATTATTACAGGATAATGCAGTGCTGAGGAGAAGCTGACTCCGCATCCAGTGTGCATTATTATCAATATTTCATTTCATTATTTATGATATCATTTCTTTCTTTCTTTTCAGCTCAGTCCCCTTATTAATCTGTGGTCACCACAGTGGAATGAACCGCCAACTTATCCAGTACATGTTTTATGCAGCGGTTGCCCTTCCAGCCGCAACCCAACACTGGAAAACACCAAGACATACTCATTCACACACACACACACACACACACACACACACACACACACACACTCATACACTACGGCCAGTTTAGTTGATCAGTTCCCCTATAGCGCATGTGTTTGGACTGTGGGGAAACCAGAGCACCCA